GCACACTAGGTTTCAAAATACCGCAAATTAAAAATTTTAGAAAATAAATAAATAAATAAGTAGATGAGGAGGTGAAGAAAAATTAAGTGTTGGATTTTTCAAAAAAATGGGCAGCATTTCATTACCCCCATGGGGTCGAAGTGTGCCGTGAAGAAGAAAGGCTAAGTAAAATGAGAAGATTTTGCTAGCACTTCGCTACCCCCAAGGGGTCAAAAATGTGCTGAAAAAGACTAAGTGAAAGAAAAACAGAAAATTTCGGCAGCACTTCGTTAGCCCCACGGGGTCGGAATGTGTGTCGAAAGCAAGAATGACTAACTCCTAATCAGATTTAAGGGTGCCACAAAGAAATTTGAATTTTCAAAATAAAATAAAAATAAAATGAAAGAAATCGGAAAATGAGAAAAGAGGGTGCGGAATAAGATAATTCAAATTTTTGGAAAAAATGAGGAAAAATAAATCAAAAGAAAGATAAAAAGAAGAAAAACAAAAAATTTCGAAGTTGGGGGAAAGGGGAATGAAAAGGTGAGGGAGAAATAGGTGAGAGAGAAAAAAAGAGTGAGGGGGGAGAGGAGGGTGAGAGAATGGGAGAGAAAGGGATGGGAAGGGTGGGGAGGGATCAAGAAGCAAAGAGAAAATAGGAGAAGAAAAGAAAATAAATGAATAAAGTAGCGTAAAATAGTGGGTGGTGGGAGAAAAGGTGGGGTGGGGAGAGGGGTATGGGTAGTGAGAGTGATTAGAAGGAGGTGAGTGAGGCAGAAGAGGAAGAAGTAGAGGGGGTGAGTAAGAGGAGAGAGAAAAGGTAGAAAAAGTGGGTTAATAGGGAGAGGGAAGAGAGTGGGATGATACATGGCCCATGGTGTCTCCAAGGGCACAAGGTATACCAAGAGCAGGAGGGTCTTGGCCTTCACTGCAGCAAGCCAGCTGGAGGAGAGAGGGGGATGAGATCTTGATCAGCCCCTAGCAGCAATGATGCAGATCTGCAGATCCAGGGTATGTTGTGTGAGCAGACCCTCACCAGTGTAGAGCAGCCCCCTGAGCAGGGGGGTTTTCAGCTCCACAGCAAGTTGCCACGTGGCACTGCAGATGGCCACGTGCGCAGGCAGCAGCAGCCAAGAGGGGAAGGAGGGGGGGGGGGTAAATTGCTGGCATGCAGCTCTTCAACAGTTGCGTGCCGCACTACAAAGCCATACACACACTGTGGCAAGTGTGTTACGGCAGCAGCTATGCACGCGCATAGCCAGCAGCTGCCCAAGTTCAAAGTGTGGTGGCAGCGTGCATCCCAGATCTTGGTAATATAAAATCTTGGAGTGGAGTGGGGCGGGGCTGGGCGGGGCTGGGCGGGGCGGGTGCGTGGCGCGTGTGCGTGTGCGGAGGCCTTGGCCTTGTCTTTTCGCGCCACGTGGCGCTCCTTGTTGCTGCACCTTTTCCTCAAATTTTCCCCCTGTTTTCCACTGCAAACAGTCAAAAAACACCGAAAAACACCACTGTCGGGTTTTGCTGTTTACCCCGAGTGTGCGGTGTGGCGGGTGGGAGCGGGGAGCGTTCCTGCTCTGATACCACTATGGCGGACCCACCAGGTGTGGTGCTCCGCCTGGGATAGAGATGGAGATGGAGGATGAAGGGGGAGCGAGATGGCACAACGCAGCTCCCACACTAGAATCCAACGCACGTACTCCAAAATGTGCGAATGTAGAATGATCCGGAAAACAGACATCAGCTGGAGTATACCCCATCGGACTGACGGGACTGGACTGGACGGGCTGGTACCAACAGAGGTACCGGCCTGGACTGGACTACCCAGAATACAACACAGGCCTGTGAGAACACGCCAAGGGGCTGGTCTCACAGGCCAACCAGAGGTCCGCTACAGTGGTCCTAGGCATGCAAACAATTTCCACCAACCGTTTTCTGGGTATAGACGCAAGTTGCCGCTGGGACTGGGAATAGAATCAATAGATGCAATTTTCCCTTCTTTTTTTTTGGCTCAGTTGTTTCTTCTTTTCCGTTGTTGCATGGTTCGGACAAGCTAATCTGGGTAACGCAAAAATGTATATATATATATATATATATATATATATATATATATATATATATATATATATATATATATATATATATATAT